TAGCTCGATCATGTGATGATGTGCATATGCATGACCCACTCACCAGTGCAAGGATGCAACAAATAAAAATGTCTAAGAACTAACAGTAACTAAAAGACGACGCCAATTAATTAATTAGCAAGACGTACAGGGCTGTTCCAATAATCGGAGACACAGCCAAATCAAATCAGTACTAACAATAATTTGTTCACAATCACATCAGTAGTAACAAGTATATTGTGTTGCTAGCTAGCTAGTTTAATTAGAACGTTCGAGTAATTAGAATAATCAACATGGAGATATATGTATTGTGGCATAGCACTGCGTCATGCATGTGAAGGCCGGGAAGAAGAAGAAGCTTCCTTGGTCTTTGTTAGCTGCTCCTACATATATATACTGTATCCACTCAGCTATGTCGCTATGTCCTGCGGAAAACTCTTTTAATCACTCGAGTAGATGTCCACTCGTTTATTACATATATCTAAATAGTTATAAAAAAATTAAAACTTTTTTAACAAGATAGATCAATATGTAATATATAACTACACAAACATGCATGCAAGCTAAAATTCAATTTCTACAAATTGTAACAAAAAAAGAACAAATAAAACTCAAATTGGTATATGTATATTTGCAGTTAAATTTGTTATTTTTGTTACAAATTGTAGAAGTTAGATTTGAATTTGTATTTTTGTGAATTGATATATTACATATTGATATATCTTGTCAAAAAAAATTTAAATTTTTTTCATAACCATTTAGTTGACATGCAATAAACGGCGGTGGACGTCCACTCGAGTGATTAGAATCCGTATTTCTAAAAAAAAACATAATACATGTGTCTATTTATATATATAATAACGACGAAGATCTTTGAGATGTCATGCCGTACACTCTTGCCACTCCACATGCCAACATATGTAGTACATATATGTCGCGTATGATGGCTCTAATGAGCTAGAGAGATCGATATCCTAAGCTTGAACGAAATTTCCAAGAAATCAACTTCGTTCAGCAAACAAAGCTGGCGATCGATGCCAAGTATGTACGATCGAGTAGCACGCAATCGTTGTAATTTTGCCACTTCAATTAATGTCTTTTGCTTCCACTATAGCTAATTTATGTACAACAAGGACGACAGGGAGAGGATGATAGGTAGGTGACTATCTCTAGCAAGAACACGAAAAAGTTAGCTAAACCAGTTTCTGGCTACGTACTGACCCATTTCTGGATCCTGTAGCCATTGAGTCTCGTAATTTAGAGCGAGAATCTAGATTAATTGTTTAGTGAAACTGGAAATTTTAGAGTACTTACAGGCGTTGCTTGAAACTCTTTCAAAATAGGAGGTCTAATTAGCTATAATGTAGAGATGTGAGTCAACTATGATCTGATAGAGCGATCAAGCTACCAGAAATGAGAGAGGCAAAGTGAAACCACGATGAGCTGAAGAGTCAATAAAAAAAAGGGACTGTCTATACATCATTTGATAGAAAACCCCCTAGGAATCTTACAAATTTTGAATCGTGCAGGCAGGCAACCAAACTCTAAAAAACCTCTCCTCTCCTGATTCCCCCTCACGCCTCTGCTCCTCAGCGCGAGCGCATTCCGCGCCGCCTCCGCCATCGCCGCCGCCGCCCGGCCTCACCGGCTAGCCGAAAGGCCTTAATGGCTCCGGCGAGGACCCCCCGACCGGCCTCCTCCCCCTCCCCCTCCCCCTCCCCCCTCACCTCCCTCCTCGAGCCATCGAAGGCGAGATGCTCTTGGCCCGCCGTCTTCCTCGTCTCTGGTGACTCCTCGCCGCCGGATCCAACACCATCGGCCACCACAACTTCGCTATGCCCCCACCACCAACGCTGGCCCACCGCCCTCCTCCTCCCTCCCTGTAGCTCCGGCGCCACCGCTAGCACCTCGCCGCCCGCCCGTTTCACCGCCCACCGCCAGCACCAGGCTGCCGCCTCCCACGACCATCCCTCTAAGCCCAGCGAACTCTCCCTTCTTCTCCCTCCCCCTCCCACCCCTCCCTACACCAGGACCCTAATTCATCGGCCCTCCGCTGGAGTTTGGGTTGTCACCGGCGCCGGAGAAGAAGAGGAGTTCACCGGAGTTGGAGAAGAAGCTACTGGAGTAGAATCGTGAAGCACATCTAGTAGACCAAAATCTGTAAGATTTGGTGATAGATTTTCTGTCAACAAATGGTTAGCGATTCATAAAAAAAAAGGATGCTACCATGTACGTCTTGCCTGAGGTGGTTAGAAGCGTACAACCGCATGCAAAACAGTTTAGCCTGTGCACAATTAGAGGTCAGCCGGTCAGGCGTGTGTCATGGGTGATAGCAAAACTGATAGGAAGGATGCCAACGGATTCATAAGGGTTAAGGGTGGCTAAGTTTTATCAATATTATTCGTGTCATGGTTCTAAAAGTACGATTTTTTTCATAAAAACTTTGGACATATTGCACAGACAACTTTTTCTAAGTTATTCTTATAGCTTTATAGTGCTTATAATTTATCTATCTACATGATGGTTGGCTAGGATCGATGCGAGGAATGTTGATAAGATTAGAATCAGAATTAGAAGAGCCGGGGGATTAGAAGTGTGTTATAGAGATGCGATGGCCGGGAGTGGGTGTGACATGTGCTATCATGATATGATATGCGATGTAGATCAAGCAGAGTCTCTTGGCTGAAAATGCAGAAGGATGGGCAGGCCGAGTGCAAACTGCAAAGTGAAGTCCTCGGAATAAATAAATAACTGCAAAAAAAAGAAGTTGTTGCTGCGCCCTCTGTTTGTGTCATTCAGTGTGTGTTTAGTTCACCTCAAAAGGAAGTTTGGTTGAAATTGAAACGATGTGATGGAAAAGTTGGAAGTTTATGTGTATAGGAAAGTTTTGATGTGATGGAAAAGTCGAAAGTTTGAAGAAAAAGTTTGGAACTAAAACAAGGCCTCATTAGTCTGCCTCCAATCACCAAACAACTTTTTTTTTTCATTTTTCCTAAGAAACAAAGACAATGTGATCAAGTTTTGGGCGGCCCTGCAAAGTCTGCATCTATCCAACGATCAATTCTTATCCTGCAGAGGTCAGTTCAGACGTGATGAATAGCACATGGGCGAGCACCTCCCCTCAATCGAGAATACTGTTGAAAAATCCTATATTAAATGAAGAATGATTTAGGAGGATTTTTAGTTTGACTTTTATTTTCTGCTAAAAGTAATCCTAGGCATGCATGAATAGAGTACATACTTTTCCTTGAACTACTCCCTCAAAGATAATATATATACATAATTAAATAGAGTAAATAGGAGATGGTGATCGTGATTGTTTATTAAGGAGTAATGAGTAAAGAAGTTGCTATATTATAGGATAATTCTTTTAGAGTTTATCGAATAAATCTTTAAATGCTAAAATTGTTATATTTTAAAACGAAAGGAGTAGCATACCGTGTATATATATCTTTAAAACCATCTAGTAAGACTCTATGAGATTCTCTTACTAGTTACTCCGTACCATCCAAGTCGGTTGTACTAAAGATCTGTCTTGTGATTTTTTTCCCCTAGATTTGTTGTTCTTTTTTGCCTGTGTGAGGTGCGGCAAGATTCATGTTGCCATTGGATGATTGTCGTGATTTATACTAGCTGGTAGGAAAAAATAATAACATAGCTAGACTTGATCACCGCAACCTGGTTCATACACACATGTATGTCCAGCATGCTATGGGCATGTCTTGTATCCTTATGAGTTATATCGTAATTACATTATACTCCCTCCGTCCCAAAATATTTGACGCCATTGATTTTTTTAAATATGTTTAACCGTTTATCTTATTAAAAAATTTAAGTATTTATTAATTCTTTTTATATCATTTAATTCATTGTTAAATATACTTTTATGTATACATATAGTTTTACATATTTCACAAAAGTTTTTGAATAAGACAAATGATCAAACATGTTTAAAAAGTCAACGACGTCAAATATTTAGGGACGGAGGAAATATATAATTATGAACTACCAATTGATCTTTCGATAGATTTTGGAGCTTCAAATCTCGTAGAATTTTTAACCAATGGATATAGTCCGTTTTGAATGAAATTTAAATAAATATAGGGGAATAAACATGCATGTCAAAAATCGTAAATCTAGAAAAAAAAAAGCAATCGTAAAATCTTATTTTGGTTCATTGTAACTAAGTATAAGTGCAGTAGTATAATTGTAAATTGTGTCTATAGAAAAATGAAACTTGATGCAAGATTGTACGAAAGAAAAATCGAAAGATTGGAAAAAAAACTATCACAAGTAAAATAGCAAAATCCTTATAATTATGCTGTAATCCCTTTGTTTCATATTATTAGTAGTTTGATAATTGTATTAATTAAACTTTTTTAAGTTTGACCAAGCTTGTAGATAAATATAGTAACATTTTCAATACAACACAAACATAGTATCAAAATATATTCAATGTTGAATTTTATGATGTTGATAATTTTTTTAAACTTGATCAAAGCTAAATTACTTAAGTCTTAAAAAAAATCAAACTACTTACAACAATGAAACAAGGGGACTAGTTATATGGAATTGCTAAAATACTGCTGCAAGTTTTTAGGGAAAACAAAACTTTCAAATGTAGTAACTTATAGTGTAGTTACAGCATAACTGCAATGTAATTATACTATACTCCCTCCGTTTCGAAATGTTTGACGCCGTTAACTTTTTAGCACTTGACCGTTCGTCTTATTCAAAAATTTTAAGTAATTATTAATTCTTTTCCTATCATTTGATTTATTGTTAAATATATTTTTATGTAGGCATATAAATTTACATATTTCACAAAAGTTTTTGAATAAGATAAACGGTCAAACATTTGCTAAAAAGTCAACGGTGTCAAATATTTCGAAACGGAGGAGTAGCATTTTTTTGAAAAATATTATGGAGCGCCTAACGTAACAAAATCCGAAGCCAACGCGAACCTGCCTCCTCGTCGTCGTCGTGGTCTATATATTAGCTCGTCTACTCAGTGGGGGCGCCTCTCTTCTCGCGCCCATCCATCCATGGAGAAGACAAGGCTCTCGCTCTCACCTCGTTAGGTGCCGCGTCGCTCTTCCTTAACTACTCCCCCCCCCCCCCCCCCCCCCCCCGATTCTCCCGCCTCCGCCGCGCGCCGCCATCCATCCTCCTCTCCGGCGACCTCATCCGTCTGCATGCTACGCGGGAACGACACCGGCAGCGACCTGGCCGAGCTGCTCTGGGACAACGGCGCCCCGGCGCCGCTCAGGCCGCCTCCGCCTCCGCCCTTCCAGCCCTTCACCTGCAGCGCCGCCGCCACCACGTCGCCGCCGGCGCACGACTACCTCTTCATCAAGAATCTCATGCGGGGCGGCGGCGCCGCCAACCACCACCACCACGATGACGATGACGACGACGACGACGACGTGCCGTGGTTGCATTACCACCCTGTCGTGGACGACGACGACGACGCCGACGCTGACACGGCGCCGCTGCCTCCCGACTACTGCGCCGCCTTGCTCTCCGGCCTCTCCGACCACCTCCCGCCGCCCGCCGCTGCGGCGAGCAGGGTGGACCCCGACCCCTGCTCCTCCTCCCACGGCGCCGTCGTCCCGTCCACGTCCGCCGCCGCCGCCAAGCAGGCTCGCACGAGCGGCGGCGGCGGCGGCGGCGTCATGAACTTCACCTTCTTCTCGAGGCCTCTGCAGCAGCGCCCCTCCGGCGGCGAGACCGCGTCGGCGTCGGCGTCGGCGGCGGCCACCTCGACCGTCCCCGTCGAGTCGACGGTGGTGCAGGCGGCGACGAACCGGCTGAGAAGCACCCCGCTCTTCTCCGACCAGAGGATGGCATGGCTGCACCCGCCCAAGCCGTCGCCACGCGCCGCCGCACCGCCGCCGCCGCCGCCTCTGGCCCCTACCACTCGGCACCGACTCGACACCGCCGCCGCGACGGCGACGGTGGCGCAGAGGTTGCCGCCGTCCGAGGCAAGAGCTCCCGACGCGCCCCCGCCTGCCGCGACCGCGACGGCGACGACCTCGTCCGTCTGCTCCGGCAACGGCGACCGGAGACAGCTCAATTGGAGGGACAGCCACAACAACCAGTCCGCCGAGTGGTCGGCCAGTCAAGACGAGGTAAGCAAACAACCACGCCGCCGCCGCCGCCATTGCTGCTCGCGATCGCTCACGCGTACGTCACGTCTCTCCCCCTCTCCAGCTGGACCTCGACGACGAGCTCGCAGGCGTCCACCGGAGGTCGGCGGCGAGGAGCTCCAAGCGCAGCCGCACCGCCGAAGTCCACAACCTGTCAGAGCGGGTAAGCACACACACCATGCACCATCCACAACACCCGCGTCGTGTCATGACGTCATCTCATCTCGCCATTGAATTGCTTTCGAGCTCGCAGAGGAGAAGAGACCGGATCAACGAGAAGATGCGGGCGCTGCAAGAGCTCATCCCAAACTGCAACAAGGTAACAAAGTTCGCCATGAATCCAAATTGAGCTTGGTGAAATGTGACGTCATCATGGGAATGGAAAATGGTTTATAGATTGACAAGGCGTCGATGCTGGAGGAAGCCATCGAGTACCTCAAGACGCTGCAGCTGCAGGTGCAGATGATGTCGATGGGGACGGGGATGTTCGTGCCGCCGATGATGCTGCCGGCGGCGGCGGCGGCAATGCAGCACCACCACATGCAGATGCAGCAGATGGCCGGGCCAATGGCGGCGGCGGCGCATTTCCCCCACCTCGGCGCCGCCGCCGCCATGGGGCTCGCCGGCTTCGGCATGCCCGCCGCCGCGCAGTTCCCTTGCCCGATGTTCCCCGCCGCGCCGCCGATGTCCATGTTCGCGCCGCCGCCGCCGCCGCCGCCGTTCCCTCACGCGGCCGCCACCGCCGTCGAGCAGACGCCGTCTCCGCCGGGAGCAGCAGACGCCGGCAACGCCCCCGCCGTGAAGCAGGCGTGACGGCCATCACATCTCTGCATTTGCAATCGCCAATTCGCCATTGCGGTGGCCTCGCCTAGCTTAGCTAGCTTTGATCTGAACAATTTTCAGTCTCACCTAGCTTGCTGTAGCAGAAACGTTCCAACTTTGTTCTAGCTGTAGCTTTGTAGTTGTAAAATTGAGGAAAATTTATGTAGATGAGCTACTGAAGTAGTAGTTCTTTTTTTGTTCGGAATTTGTTCTGTCCATCGAAAATTCGTCGCAGAGTGTTCATCCTTTTCTAAATCAAGATCAAAACAGACCACCACACAAGGAGTAATTCTGCACAGTGAACTGCGTCAGAGGATAAGCCGAAGCACAGTGACTGCTGTTGCTGCTGGAGACGATCAAATTCAGACCATTGTCTCCCGTTCTCACTCTCACCTGAAAAAGTCTATTTTCTCAGTCACAAAATATAACAACATGTATTACTCGATTATATATCGCCTTTCTACTCGACATATTACTGTGAATCTAGACTCGACATAAAATATAACAACATAGTATTACTCGATTATATATCGCCTTTCTACTCGACATATTACTGTGAATCTAGACTCGACAGACTCTACTCTTATATATTTATCTAGATTTGTAATATAGGTTATATCTAATCTAGTACTCCGTGTGAGTGTGAGTGTGAGTGCTGCTGGTGATTGCTGTTACAGTCTGAATTCTGTGATAGACCTGACGGACCATCACTGCCAGTAGTGTTCAACTGTTGATGGCTTCATGCATTGCATCTGTCTGCATAGTGATCAGCAGCAGAGCAGCATTGGAGTATGTTGCAGTGCAGTGCAGGCCACCGGTCTCCTCCAATAATTCAGGCATTTTTAACAGTTCTGGTACTAGCATCAAGTGCGACATGCAGCAGCATTGTGTTCTCTGAACAAAGGGGAAAAAAATATCGATTGTATCATCTGCAAGATCTTCTAGAAGGGAAAAAAAAATATCGATTGCACTCGAAGATGTTTTCTTTTTTGGGCAGGAATAAAAGCTTGCAGAACAAAGATGTTTTCGGGAAAGAAAAAAAAGGATTCTTGTGCTAGATGTTGCAGCATTGGGGTGCAGAATCTGTAAGACTGCAACAGGATTGGTTTCATCTGGTCCTTTCGTTGGTTATAAGCAAATGCTGATTCTGAAACCTGAACAACCTGATCCAGTTTGTTCAGTCGTCAATTCTTCATCAGCTAATTTGGAGAGTGATACATAATTTGACGCGACTGCTAACAAATTTTTTGTCCAATTCATCCCAAGGGGACTCCCAAACGGGACCAAATTTGGGATTTGAGTGTTAGTAGAATTTGGGCGGCATTTGGGCCCAGGTGGGCCCATGAGTTTGGACTTTGGAAAGAACACCAACTTATTACTGTGCTAACATCTGAGCTGTGCAAAGTGGCATACTGTATCACTAACTAATCAGCTTAATTAGCTCACCCAAGTTGACAACTGGCATGCCTAATCAGTAATAATCACCACTGTGCACCAAGTACCATCTCTAGCTCTCTTCACAAAGCATCATCATTCATCAGGTTCAACTCCATCAGTTGTTGCATGTAAGCTAGCAATAAGCATACATGCACATTGTTTACCAGTAGCTTTTAGTAATCTAGTAGCAATAAGCATTACCCTTAGTGATAAAAAAAGAATCAGCAAAACAAATAATAGTCCAAAGTTAATGGGGGTTCTTTTGAGAGAAAGGCACATAGCAGAGTTAAAAGCGTAACCAATATCCGTAATGTCAAGTTACAGGACCCTCATGACTGACTAACATGCAACAATTTGTCCATCTTTACAAGTAAAAGCATCTACAAGAGAGTGGCTATATTACTCTCCAAGTTAAAATTTGGCAAGTGAAGAGGATTGCATGAAAAATATAAAGCACAACAAAGGAACTTCAAAATTAGATAGACTTTAACCCAGGGTTGAACCATGAAGTTAACACGGTCACAACTTAAGTTACCCTAGTTGGAGGATGCTCTATATCAGGTTCTGTAGTTGAGGGACATGGATGAAACTGGACACATAGTTGAGGGACCTCAATTGGACTTTTTCATGCACCATAACATGACTATTAAGGTTAGTAAAATTTGGGCCACATTTGAGCCTAGGTGGGTCAAGGAGTTTGGATTTTGGAAAGAACACCAACTTAGTAGTATTGTGCGAAGATCTCAGCTGTGCAAAGTGGCCAGCTGAGTGCATCTTCCAATCTACCAAATCACATGTCCTGAGGTCCATATGTGTACCTACATACATACTTTGTCACTTCCTAATTAGCTTAATAAGCTCACCAAGCTGACAATTGGCCTGCCTACTCACTACTGTACACCAAGTACCATCTCAAGCTCTCTCTTCACAAAACATCATGATTCATCAGATTCAGCTCCATCGGTTCTAGGAATAGCATTTATGTGAGCAATAAGAATATATGCAAGTTTAACTACCAACAGCCTTATGTAAGCTAGTAAGCATTACTCCTAGTGATACTAAAAAGTATCAGAAAATAATATAGCCAAAAGGAAATGGAGGTTCTTTTGAGAGAAAGGCACATGAAGAGTTCAAAGGATAACCAATCTCTGTAAATTCAAGTAACAGGATCCCCATGACTGACTAACATAGTAACATTGGTTAGTGGTTACAAACTAAGAGGTGGATTGCATGAAAAGCACAAGGAAGTAGTACAAAAATCAAATAGGCTTGCCCTAGTGCTAAACCATGAATTTAACAAGGTCACAACTTAATATTCTCCACTTACTCTGCTCTATAAGTAAACAGGTAAACAGAGTAAATGGAATAGCAAAAATACCAATTCAGTAATCAATAGCTCTGGCAACTTTTGGCTAGACAGAAACTCTTTTTTCTTTGAAAGCTACAGAAAATCCACCAGCGGACCAACCTTTTCTTCACTGATCACTAACAGCGAAACTTAGCTGACCAAAATATTGTTCTTCATGAGCTGCTTCTAAATGCCACCACATCTAGGCATGATCAGGCAAAGACTCCATGAACACGGGGACATACGGAAGACATGGATCCCAGGTTTTCCAAAAGGGATCTCTCATATTGCATATCGAGTTAACTTTCCCACGGTCCATGTCATATGATAGCAGAGTATTCTGGCCCTCGTCCCGGAAAACATAGAAAATCATATTGCATTCTGGGTGAATTGCAATCAGGCTATACTCCCGCTCAAGCTTCATATTTGTCCATCCGAAAAGCTGGGAAGTGCTAATGTTGTACTTGAAGGACCATCCACAGCTGCAGTAATCATCAAGAGTCCAGACTGACAGTATAGAGGAATCCCAATCCCTGAAATTGATGTAATACAAGTGCCCTTGGGATTGGCCTATGAAAGCAAGGATCCCATTAGAGATGCATTCACAGGTCATCTCTTCAAGAAAAGGAATAGTCTTCCACTTCTTCCCCTCCGTATCAACCGCTATGATCGCCGAGTTGTAGGAGATGAAATTCACCATGCCATCGACAAACGCAGACTTCGCGTCGGGATGCACCGTATGGTCATCCTCGTCACCCCAACCATTCTCCCTGTGGCTCCACGCTCCCGTCTCCAACGAGAAAATCTCCACGCCGGAGACGCATCCATCCACATGCTCAAGGATCGCAAACACATGGAAGTACGGCGACAATGCCGGATCGAAGCCCAAACGGACGGTGGAGACCGGGTCCGCGCGGTCGATCTCGGGCAAGATGATCCATCTCTGAGTGGCAGGGTTGCAGACCACGTAATCGGATTCATCTCTCGGGGAATTCTTGCAACACAAACAAAGGAGAAGGCCATTGCAGCAATCCTTGGGAAAGATGGTCCTGTATCCAGGCAAGAAGGACAAGGAAGGGTCAGGAACAAGGCGGTGCTCCTCTTCATCTTCTTCTCCGCCATCGATGCTGTCGAAATGGGGAATCAAGACGATGCCGTCGTGGAGGGGCACGGAGTAGTGGGAGATGAAGCCGGCGAGCGTGTGGGGGAGCTTCTTGCGGTGGTCGCGGTGGGAGATGAGGCGGCGCCAGCGCCAGGAGACGCACTTGAAGCGGCAGACGGATTTGGCCGGGAGACGCGAGAGGATCTCCACGATGAGGTCGTCGGTGAGGTCGGCGGCGGGGTTGTCGCCGTCGATGCCGCCGCACCTCTTCTTGGTAGCGCGCTCCAGCTCCATCGCCATCGGGTTGGTTTGGTTACCTAGAAAGGAGAAATGAGGAGGAGAGGAAGGATGAGAGATTGAGAAGTGGATGGGAGGAGGGAGGTTGAAGGAAGCAGGTGGTACAGGCGCAGCAGCTCACCGGAGTAGGCGCGGGCGCGACCACGGCGACGGAGTGGTGGTGGAGTGGCGGCGGCAGAGTGGGGATTGTGGGGGAAAGGAAATTTCCACTCTTGTTGGAATGGAATAAGTCTATTTAGCCTCCCTCATCTCTTGTTGCTGATTGAACCACATACCTCAACTGCAAAACGGATAGGAAAAAGTACACTGAAGGTCCCTCAACTTATCATCGAGTTACCAAATTGTCCCCTAACCATAAAACCAGATATATGATATCCGTCAACTTACAAAACCGTTTACTATAGGTCCTTCGGTGGTTTTGACTACAGTTTTGTCCGACGTGGTGGTTGAGTCAGCGTGGGACCCATGTGGGCCGCACATGTCAGTGAAACCTTAGTCTATTTTTTTTCCCTCTTCTCTATATCCCCTCTCTGGCTCTCTCCCCTCCCCTTCAAGCAGATCGCCGGAGAGGGCACGACGCGGGGCGGAGCGGCCAGTTGGCGGAGCGAGTGGGCGACGGCACGGGGAGAGGCAGCGGCAGCTGCGCCCACCGCACGAGCGCAGTGGAGCACGCCGATGAAGCGATGCACCCTGATGGTGAACTTGCTCCCCTCGGGGACCACGGTGAGCGTTGCCACCAGCGCGGAGATGCACCTGATCGCGGCGAAGAGCGGCGCCGCGTCGCCATTCTCGCTCACCACCTACTTATCGTCGTCGCCTTCCGACTGTGCCATCTCCTACTCGATGGCGGACGCGAACTTATCAAGCGTCACCTCCGAGAAGCTCGTCGGCGCGTCAGCCTCCCTCCCGACAAGGAACGCATCCACCTTCGCCGACAACATGGCTAGGTCCGGCTCAGCGGCCTCCTTAGGCGGCGCTGCCTCCTCTCCAGCAGCATCCTCGCCCTCGCCGGCACCGGCATTGTTGATGTTGCCATGACCTTCCTTGCACTCCTCCTTGACGCGCTCAGCGGGGCCATGCTCACTTATCTTGATGGCACCGAGAGAGAGGTTCCGGCCGAGCCTCTTAGGCAAGAAGCTGCTCGACTTCTGCGGCGGGATCCTATTCCTATCCATTCTTGTCGCTGGAGTTGATCGATCGATCGGTGCAACCGTCAATGGCGGGACGGGTCACGACGCATGCAAAGCGAGAGATCGAGAGGAGAGAGAGGGAGAGAAGAGGGGAAAGAGAGAGACGACGTGGCATCCTGATATGTGGGGGCCCACGTGGGTCCCACGCTGACTCAGCTGCCACGTCAAACAAAATCGGGGTCAGAACCACCGAAGGACCTATTGTGACCGGTTTTGATTAGTTAAGCGACGCCAGATATCTAATTTTGCGGTTTGAAGACGTTTTTATAACTTGATGACAAGTTCAGGGACCTTGGGTGTACTTTTTCCAAATGGATATAACGCATCACCCAATATTTTTGGCGTTGCTATATTTGTGGCACCACATATATATTAGCTTTACAGTCAGATCTTAGACCGTCCATTGTTTGCTTTGAGATTTGTGATTTTTCCACCCACGAACCCGCTCAAGATTATATCAGTTGCTACCGGGTCGAGATAGGCGGACCCGTTTAAGGTGTGAACGGACTTTATTTGAACAGTATATGTCTGTGGCGAGTGTGATATAGGTACACCATTTTTAAAAACAGGTGCAATCAGCTCCTTTAGTGGTTTTGGAAGCGGTTTCTGCAGTCAGGGCCCACATGTGAGTGAGATATGGATAAATAGACGCGGTGGGCTCTACATGTAAATTTCTTTTCTCCTTCCCCACATCTCCCTCTCTCTCTCCTCGCGTTTTTCTCTATCGCAGAGGAAGCGCTTGCGTTGGCAAAGGCGCCGTCCATCGTCGACGCGATCGAGACATACATCGACACCTCCAGCGTCGGGTAGTTGTTCAAAGCGATATGCTGCCCTTTGCGTTGTCCTTGGATGCGTAGCAGGTGTTCATCTGCCAGATACTAAAGGAGGTGATGTAGGACCTACAGATCGACGACGGTGGGCTCTCCTATGGGGCAGAGGCGATCAACGAGTAGCTGCGCAATAGGCGCAAACACGTCGCCAGTGACCAACCTAAAGCTACCCCCACCGCGATCCCGAACTCAACCATCCCCTCTATGACGCCATCCACGAGTGGCCCTTCTCCTCGCCACTCATCACCCTGCCGTTGGTCCCTTCCACCCGAGTCGGTCGTCCATCTCCAAGTCGGTGGCCCCCATGGCTCGCCACCCTCCCATTGACCACCTCTCGAATGCTCGATGAGAATCTGAGAGATGGGGAAGAGGAGGAGGAGAGAAGAAGAGTTGACCATTGACATGTGGGATCTACTTGCCACGCTAGCTAAAACTTGGCACCATACTACCCTAGGACCTTCGGACTAGGGTATGAACGGTTTTGCAGGTTGAGGGACGTATTATATTGGTACTATGCTCGAAGGACATAAGTCAAACTCGGCGTCAATGTATGTGGTAATTTTGGGCCTTGCATTGTCGGCCCTATGTGAGCCTAAATTTCAGACGTTCGTGGGCTTTCATGGACATATATGTTGAAACTTGGGCCTTTATCGTTATTCATCACCTCATTGGTCTCGCAATATAAAGTGCGGAAGTACTGATATTGACAATTAATGGATGCAATTTCATCATAAAAATTACAACTTTGTAGCATTAGTTTTTTCCTGCAAATTGTAGCAGTGAACTTTCTCTCTTTCTGGGACTTGGTGCTCTTCTTTTTCTTGAAAGCGATCAATTAAAATATATAGCTCCCAAATTCTGAACTTTTAATTGAGAGACTATCAGTTCCTCAGAAGATGTATATATTACTGACTTCAGCATAAGCAGATTACTTGGTCAAGTAGCAAGAGCCATATCTTTTCGTAAGCTCCCGTTGTACTGCTGTACTGCTCTACATGGCATAGTTACATTGCCATCTATAGAATACATTGACTTTGATCCCTAGAGTTTCTTAGGAGTGTAGTATGACTCTGCCCCCCCCTTTCCGCTGATCGGAGTTGCGTTTAGCTATCTAGTAGTTTTTCCCCTTTTCCCCGCTGCAGCTTTTGTTTTGTTTTTCTTTACTCCCTTCCCTTGACATAAGCCGGTCTGGCTGTTACATTATGTAACAAAAACTTTTTTCATCTAATGTATTGACGTACAATAATTTTGCGCATTCGCGAAAAAAAAGCTTAGATCAACGGAGCAAGAGGACGTAATGGCGAAAGGACCTGAAAAAAAAAAGAGAAACAAATGCCCGCAAATTATCAAACTGAAAGACTGAAATATATGCATATGTACAGCTAGTGCTGCTTTGTTTGGGGACCCGTTGGGAAGATATGGGTTCCTCCACCACTTCTCTCCCTCTATGTTCTATATCCATATAGTTAATTCTTTAGAGAATAAAGTTAAAACCTATCGAGCAATTTGAAATGTCACATCTACCTCACACTGCAACACTGCAACACAGCAACACTGCACTCTTTATTGGTTCCAGTTGAAAATTATCCAACCAGATATTATGACTTTTTGATGAGCAAAAGAAATACATAATCTTTGGTGGACGAAACCACCAAGAAATTAAAGGAATCCATACAACGCTGGCATATGATATTTGAACACAATGTGAAGATGCAAGATCTTAATGGAGCATATAAGTTATGAAGAGGCCAATAATCAAATAGATAAATACCTGCATGCAAGTTCAATCCTACTTCATGCATGCATGTTGATGAAACGCTCGGTTTCCTGGCAATTCCTCAACGTGCCTGGTTGGCCTGGGTCACAATCTTGGTCTGATTTGCATGACGCTACACAATCATTCACAAATTGAAATGATAAATCTAAGATCACCTCCAATCTCAATCTAATGGCCAGATTTAATTGGAGTGTTTATGGTAGTTAGTAGGGATGAACTATAGCTAATCGAATTGGTAACACCCGCTCTGAATTCATAGCATTAGTGGCCTCTTGATTGCCAGATTAATAGAGAGAATTTTATATGGTTGGAGCAAAATTGTGACGTCTAATGCATGCAGTGCATGATGGAAGGAATAATTAAATGCAAGCTACAAAACGTATCACATTCAAAGTAAATCTGAGCTGTCCAAGATAATCCAATGGTGAATAGGGAGATGGCTTTGAGGTAATCTAGGATGTTGAATTTCAATCAAATGGTCAAAAAGAATTAAGGTGATGTGGAAGCACCACGGGTGAGGAAAATACTAATAACTACATTTAGTGGGGATCAACTATATAGATTACATTTTCCTAATTAATTCTCAGCAGGTCTCATCAACATTTGCATTTTTTTTTGGGGAAAGAACCATGACCTTAATTTTCTAAATCATAACCAGTATAAGTGAAATATTGCCCATATTATGTCGTCCTCCATCAACCTAAAATTTCCAGCAAGTGTATTATATTATACAACTCCCCCAATAATTCAGGTATTTTTAACGATTCTGGTAGCAATAGCAACAAGAGCAAGATGCAGCACCATTGTGTTCTCTGAACAAAGGGGAAAAAAATATATCGATTGTGTAGTCTGCAAGATCTTCTCAAAGGGAAAAAGATATCGATTACACTCGAAGCCTTTTTTGGGGAGGAATAGAAGCTTGCAGAACAAAGATGTTTTTGGGAAAGAAAAAAAAGATTTTTGTGCTAGATGTTGCAGCATTGGGATGCAGAATCTGCAAGACTGCCAGGGTTTCGGACAGGATGGTCCATCTGGTCCTTTCGTTGGTTATAAGTAATTGCTGATTCTGAAACTTGAACAATGCTGGGACCTGATCCCGTTTGTTTAGTCATCAATTCTTCATCAGATAATTTGGAGAGCGATATATAATTTAACCCGACTGCTAACTAATTTTTGGTCTAATTCATCCCAAGGGGAATCCCAAACAGGCCCAAATTTGAGATTTGAGTGCACCGTAATATATAAAGGTTAGTAAAATTTGGGCCACATTTGAGCCTAGGTGGGTCAAGGAGTTTGGATTTTGGAAAGAACACCAACTTAGTAGTATTGTGCGAAGATCTCAGCTGTGCAAAGTGGCCAGCTGAGTGCATCTTCCAATCTACCAAATCACATGTCCTGAGGTCCATATGTGTACCTACATACATACTTTGTCACTTCCTAATTAGCTTAATAAGCTCACCAAGCTGACAATTGGCCTGCCTACTCACTACTGTACACCAAGTACCATCTCAAGCTCTCTCTTCACAAACCATCATGATTCATCAGATTCAGCACAAGGAAGCAGTACAAAATCAAATAGGCTTACCATAGTGCTAAACCATGAATTTAACAAGGTCACAACTTAATATACCCCACTTACTCTGCTCTATGAGTAAACAGGTAAACAGAGTAAATGGAAGAGCAAAATTACCAATTCGGTAATCAATAACTCTGGCAACTTTTGGCTGGAAAGCAACTCTTTTTTCTTCGAAAACTAGAGAAAATCCACCAGTGGATCAACCTTTTCTTCACTGATCACCAACAGCAAAACTTAGCCAACCAAAATGTTCTTTTATGAGCTGCCAACACATCTAGGCATGATCGGGCAATGACTCCATGAACACGGGGACATACGGGAGACAAGGATCCCAGGGATTCCAAAAGGGATCTCTTATATTGCATATCGAGTTAATTTCCCCCCGATCCATGTCATATGATAGCAGCGTGTTCTGGCCCTCGTCCCGGGAAACATAGAAAATCATATTGCAGTCTGGGTGAATTGCAATCAGGTTGTACTTCCGTTCAAGCCTCATATTCGTCCATCCGAAAAGCTGGGAGGTGCTAATGTTGTACTTGAAGGACCATTGGCGGCTGCAGTAATCATCAAGAGTCCAGACTGACAATATAGAGGAATCCCTATTCCTGGAATTGATGTAATACAAGTGTCCTTGGGATTGGCCTATGAAAGCAAGATTCCCGCTGCAGAAGCATTGACAATTCATTTGTTCTAGAAAAGGAATAGTCTTCCACTTCTTCCCCTCCATGTCAACCGCTATGATCGCGGATCTGAAGGAGATGAAATTCACCATGCCATCGACAAACACAGACTTGGCGTCGGGACGCACCATGTGATCATCTTGGTCAACCCAACCATTCTCCCTGTGGCTCCACCGCCCGTCTCCGACGAGAAAATCTCCACGCCGGTTATGCATCCATCCGCATCCTCCAGGATTGCAAAGACATGGAAGTAGGGTGACAATGCCGGATCGAAACACAGACGGATGGAGGCGAGCTGGTCGTAATCGTCGATCTCGGGCAAGATGATCCATCTCTGAGTGGCAGGGTTGCAGACCACGTAATCGGATTCATCTCTCGGGGAATTCTTGCAACACAAACAGAGGAGAAGGCCATTGCAGCAATCCTTGGGAGAGATGGACATGTATCCAAGCAAGAAGGACAAGGAAGGGTCAGGAACAAGGCGGTGCTCCTCTTCATCTTCTTCTCCTCCATCGATGCTGTCGAAATGGGGGATCGAGACGAGCTCGTCGTCGTTGAGGGGCCCGTAGTAGCGGGAGATGAAGCCGGAGAGCGTGTGGGGGAGCTTCTTGCGGTGGTCGCGGTGGGAGATGAGGCGGCGCCAGCGCCAGGAGACGCACTTGAAGCGGCAGACGGATTTGGCCGGGAGACGCGAGAGGATATCCACGATGAGGTCGTCGGGGAGGTCGTCGATGCCGCCGCGCCTCTTCTTGGTGGCGCGCTCCAGCTCCATCGCCATTGTTTGATCACCTAGAATGGCGAAATGCGGAGGAGAGGAAGGATGAGAGATTGAGATCCGGAGGGGAAGGAGGAAGGTGTAAGGAAGCAGGTGGTACAGGCGCAGCAGCTCACCGGAGTAGGGGCGGGAGCAACCACGGCGACGGCGAGGGAGTGGTGGTGGAGTGGCGGCGGCGGCGGCGTCGTTGAGGGGATCGTGGGGAAAGGAAATACCCAATCTTGATGGAATAGATCAGCTTTGGGCTGTGGTTGGGCTTCTACCTGGAGTCTGGAGCTCGGTTTGGGCCTTTTCTCTGGATCCCAATATGGGCCTCTGGTTGTGCTTCATTTAGATATAAGTTCATTTTAGGTTCCTCATGTTGACATCAAGTTTGCATTACGTCTTTGAACATATAACATGTTTCTCAACTTGTAAAACCGGTGTATCCGAGGTCTCTCTCTCCTCCTCACCTTTTTCTTCCCCATCCCTCTTTAGGGTGGGAGACATGCTTGAGCGGCGGGGACAAAGGGTGCGGGGAGACACAGGGGTGGTGGATGCAGGTGTGGGAGCCTGGCCGATGGAGGTCGCTAGGGAGGTGGCACTCCTTAAGCTAAAAATGTTGTGACATGTGGAGGAGGATGAGTCGGCAGGAGCACGTAGGTTACTAGAGGAGGCCTGAGGCAATGAGCGCGGCATCGATGAGATCATGGTCGTTGCTGTCGTTGTCGGATGCCGATGACGGTGTGCCGCCCTACTTCATCCGCGCGATACTGAAGGTGGTGATGCAGGACCCACAAATTGACAACGGCGAGTTCTCCTATGAGGGAGAGGCAATCAACGTAGTGGGCACAAGCACAACACGTCGCCAATGACCAACCTAAAGCTACGCCGCTGCAATCTTTAACCCAACCATCCCCTCTGCGATGCCACCCATGAGTGGCCCTTATCCTCGCTGCTCATCGCCCTCCTGTCGGCCGCCACTCGATTGCTTGGTAAGAATATGAGATATGGGGAAGAGGTGGGAGAGAGAAGAAATAATAGTTGACCACTGATATGTGGGGTCTACCTATCATGCCAGCCAAAACTGGACACCATACTGCCCTGAGACCTTCGGACTCAGGTACAGAAGGTTTTGCAGGTTGAGAGACATTATATATTAGTACTAAGCTTGAAGGAAAACTTGGTGTCAAGAGGATGGATCTAAAGTGAACTTATTCCTGATATATATGTGCTAATTTTGGGCCTTGAATTGTCGGCCATATGTGATCCTATATTTCGTGGGCTTTCATGGACATATATGTTGAAACTTGGGCCTTCATCGTTATTCACCTCATTGGTCTCACAATATGAAGTGCTGAAGTACTGGTATTTGAAAATTAATGGATGCAATTTCATCATAAAAATTACAACTTTGTAGCATTAAGCTTTTTCTGCAAATTATAGCAGTGAATTTCTCTCTTTTTGGGACTTGGTGCTCTTCTTTTTCTTGAAAGCGATCAAAATATACAGCTCCCGAATTCTGAACTTTTAATTGAGAGACTATCAGTTCAATCGAGTAATGATCAGATTGGAAACGACAGCAACTTAATTAGCACTGTGCTAAGATCTGAGATGGTGTGCAAATATAATAAAGTGGCCACACTTTAGGGCCAGGCGGCCAGCTGCTGATAGATGGATGGATAGATGGAATGCATCTTGTTCTAGCTAGCTACTGGTAGCTTTTTTTTGTGTGTGTGTTTCATTAGTTAGAGGGATTAATAATTGCTGATTCATTCTGGAATGACTTGACTTGTCTCTTTCCTCTCTTGCCGACATCTCATATCCCTCTTATCTTTGTCAACAGTTATCAAGCCAACCCAGGTCCATATATGTTTGTGTCATTGTGTGTGTGTGTGCATGCCTACACAACACTGTATCACTCTAACTAATCCCAGCTTAATTAGCTAGGTAGCTCACCCTGCTGAAAACTGGCATTCCCTGTCTCTACATGTATTAATCTCATATAATCTAGCTACTACTATACACAAGTACCATAGCTAAGCTGATCTCTCTTCAGAACTCAACATCATTCCATCATATCCATCCTATCAGTGTTCTTGTTGCAGGTAGGTAGTTCTTTTTTTTTCTTTTTTCTTCTGAAGTTGGTCCACTTAGTTCTTTCTCTGAAATTGATCACTGATCACTGTTGATTTGATGACACAATGCATACATCTGCAGTTAGGTTTTTGATTTGTGGAATGCATGGGCTTTTGAAGTTGTATATATATATATATGTAGGGTATAAGGACAGCTCTGAAATCCATTTGCTTTTAGGGCTTTTGGCGCCATGCGAGTAATGCCGTGGGCCTTTCTAGCTCTAGGTACAACATCGATGTGAGAACGAACTCTCAAGGGGAATTGAAGGGACGACGGACCATTGAGCCATTCAATTAACCAGTAATGTGTGATTGATAATAATATATGGTCACTAATATCTCAAATTATATTGAGTGTCTCCGGTGCACTGCTACAATAATGCTATATATTATATGGTCCTAATTAATTCTCAGCTGGCCTCATCAACATTTGGATATTTTTTTTGGGAAAAGAATCATGACCTTAATTTTCTAAATCATAACCAATATAAGTGAAATATTGTCCATATTATGTCCTTCTCCATTAACCTAAAATTTCCAGTAAGTGTGTTATATTTATAAAACTCAATATGGTATCAGAGTTAATTAAGGTAGTAAATTGACTGTAATAGCATAATATACTCGCTACATTATTCTAGTATTTACTATTTTGTTCCCCCACCAAATTAAGGCTTGTTTGGATATTTGTATTAGGAATCAGAAATAAAAGGGTAATCCCTTCTGATGAGGAATAACTAGTTGTTAACTGATCAACGCCCTTGCATATGAATCTCGATCATCAGCTCGTAGTAAATTAAAATTATCCCCTTCTTATAACTAAGTTATTAATTGCTGTCTTGTGGTGAAATATTCATATATACAATTCAATGGAGCTACTCCTACATGATATGGCCGGGAGGGGATCGAATCAATAATTCGATTCGGTGGCCTGACCATGCCACTCTTGTCCGATGCTAATCCATGGTTTTGGTTGATGATGACGGCGACTAATTGGCCATTAGTATTGTTATGCCACTGTTGAAGATTCTCATGAGGGGATGGGGTTTTCAACAAAGCAAATGAGTAGCTGAGCTGGAAAGCAAAAAAAAAAAACCAACAATGGTCTCTCAATATAATGCAAGGATGAGTAGTATACTAGTGGTGAGCATGCAGGACCAATATGTACACTAAGGGCAGGCAGGCAACCCTATAGCATCTAATCTTGATCATCAGCATGCATGGATGGATGTGATTTTGGATTGGATTGGATTGGATTGGGGATTGGACTGAAGGATGGATGGCTCTTGAGGGCATACATACATATGCTAAAAGCTTAGCTAGCTGTTCATCATGCATGTTGTTAATGTGTAATATGAGAGGAGAGGGGTGTACAGTATAGTAGGGACACCATGGATGAGGAATTCTTCCTTGTCTGGAGGCTAGCCAGCTACTTGCAAATGCTTTGTGATCAATTCCATCCATTCAAGGGCACCATGCATGCACCATCAGGACCATTTCATTTGCATTGCATATATTGCATGCATGACTTTGATCTATCATCCTAACTTTATTTTTTTTTCTTTATGAGCTTGCTAGCTTGGAAGAAAGAAAGATGCATGGTTTTTCTTTTCTTTTCTTCTTCCTTTTCCTTTTCTTTTGGGTTGAGTAGTTGTAGTACTGTTATTAGTCATCGGATTTTGCAAAGGACCATGCATGCATATACTCCCTCCATCTTAAAATAAATAAATCTAGGATAAAATGTAACATAATCTTGTATAACAAATCTGAACAAATTTATATCTAGATTGTAAATGTCTGTCATGTCATGTATAGTAGGGATTGCAATCAGATAAGGCAATGCAATGCACGCAATTAAAGTGTCCAAGTGTAGATGGTGAGATGATTATTGTGCCGGCAGCAAACTGGAAATTAATTAAAGTGTTTTTAGGCACCCCTGCATGCGTGTGACAGTACACATCTGGCACACTAAAAGATCAATCAGTTAGTAACTAGTACAAAATTCAGGCTTCGAGTTGCAATTTGCATAAACTTTTTTGTGGTAATTAAGCCATGACACAGGCATATGTTTTTTCTTTTTTTTCAGTGTGAGCACCCAGTGCATTCACATTACTAGTTAGTAGTAATTAACTTGCTTAGCTTGTCACTGTCTCTCACGGTTAGATCACTGTACATGCATTGCAAAATCAACCATAAATACAGTGATCGCTGCATTTTGGATTGATGATCAAGAAGACTTTTTTGTACGTGTACGGCACACTTGAAACGTGTGATCGATTTCGATATGATGATGCATATGCATGCCTGATAAACTTTTATCTGTCAGTATCAATAACACTGCGCCCTGGTAAACTCCTTCGAGTTTGACATGTGTACTTCTGAAAATTTTCATAGATAACCTTACTAAAACTAGAATCTGTTCATATGTACTGTAGTCTCAAATTAACCTTTCCTTTAATTTTGATCTGGAATTAGAAGGCGACAATTCATGCATGGCATGAATAATTAATTAATTAATATCAAGAGAGAAGCTGGTCCAGTTAACTTTCTTCACCAGGAGACTTTTGCAGTGATGGAACAGAAGAATATATCACACTCCACTAAGGCAAAAAAAAGCTTAGCTTTCCATGTAGCTAGGCCATATATATTTTTAATTTTTTGTGTGCAATGCAATGAACAGCATAGGGTACTGGGTGCCTACACATGCACGTAGGGTAAGGGACAAATCAAACTAAAAGGATGCTACCACATGATGCTTTACACACACACACACATGAATTTCTCTCCCTTTTGATATGCATATCATGTCTGCCTAGTTAGTTATCTATCCATGCTTGTATGGTCCATACACATCTCTTATGGTATATATGGACAGGGATTCGAATTCTCTGCAGTACTGCACGTGCAATAGTTACCGCTGACATGTAGATCCATGTCTACCTATCAGTCATTATAATTACAAAGACAGTAGTACTGCAGAGGATCCATATTTGAATCATTGGTATCTATATATACACAGGAACAAATCTACATTATAAGAGGGGTGCTCAGAAACCCAGTCAAGAAAAGTTTTTAGCTATAGTTTTATCGATTTTCACTATATGTGCACCCTCTAATCAGTGCAAACTTAATCACCCGCATCAGTCTAAACTTG